ATTCACGTTGAAAACAGTTATGAGGAAGTTATAGGTATAAGCAAAAGGAGTAATAATACATTCATGATTTGTGGAAGAACCCGTTTCCGGTCATGTCTATGCTTAACCCCCCCCCCCCATTTCTGAATTGACTCCACGAGAAATTAACCAAAACTCCAGCCTATAGAAAAATGTGGAACAATAATGACACTGTAATTAAACCCTTTCACTTGATTGGATCTAGTTTTATGGCAATTAAGCCACAGTGTTGACAGACCCACAGACACCTGTTTCGTACAATTACTACTTGAATCATTCCGAAGTGTAGCATGGAGATAAAAATTCATTGAGTGCTAGTAAAACTCTCGAAATACACTGTGTATTATGGAAAATGCTTTGCTGTCCCAGAATCACTGCAGTCTCTATTGGCAAAAATACACGTTGGAAGTGGTTTGCTGGACAGCCTAATTATATCAGACAATGAGCATGGATAAGTAAAGTAAGCCAATCAACATCCACGGGAAGCTCAACGGTTATAAAGATGATGATAGGTTTAATTAAAAAAACGATGCAAACAGTCGGAAAATCCACAAATAAAATGGTTCAAAATGGAAAATGTGATTGGAGAGCGATTCCACGATACGGTTCGGGAATAGTGTTACGAGTTTCCTTAGAGAAAAAATGATGAGAAGAAGAACCGGAAAATACGCAAAATGCCAATGTTTCGGTAATCTTTGGAGGAAACAAAAGCCTACCGTATAGACCAATTACCCAAATTAGTTGCACAACATTATTCGATTGGAGTAGATTAAATAAATTTCATTACGAATCCACTTCATTGGAACTATTGGAATTGAACACAATAAGAATAATATGTACAACAATCTTTACAACAAAGAAATCGGGCAATGTCTCCATCGTGGATGGGTATCTGCCAAGTTGTCCAGGTCACAGAAGGTGAATTTTCTTGAAAGGTCAACAACCGAAGCCTTTCGCTAGTCAAAACCTGGCCTGTAAACCCCTGAAGCAGAGAATATAAAAGGCTAGTCGTTAAGGGCCGGTGCCTAATCAATCGGATTGCTATGCCTTTCAGGTAAGGTTCACGCGTTCAATGTGCCCTATATACCGTGAAGCACAATCGAACCCTGAATCTAGCTATTACGGCTTTTCTTGAGACGCTGGATAATGTTTAGTGATAGATCACTACAGTTTCCCTCTAGACTTAAAGGCGGTACCGTCCAAACGAAACTGTACGTACTTTACCCCCTCAGGACTCTCACTCGTGTCTTCTTTGCAATGAAACGTTGAACCAGTTCCGTGGTTCAGTATAGTCTCAGATGTACTGAATTACGGTAATGAGTTTCAAAGAAACACTCGTAGGAGCGTTGACAGGTGCTGAAAAATCGTTCTGTAAACTAGCACGCGCACATGAATGACGAACCGATAAATGAAAAGCAAATTTAGTGCGACAGCTAGCACGAGCCACAGCTTCAGAAACAATCGAAGTGGTGAAACAGGACGACAAAACCGGTCAAACAAGTAAGGACACGTGCAGTGCGCTGTTTCACATTTGTACAGAACGATCACCATGATAAGATCAGACGGTCATTGGAGGTTCCGTTCAAACAATCAATATATGGCTGATCAGAGCGCAGCAAGGTCATGCACGCATCCAAGGTTAACATTTGCAATGGATGCATTTTAAACATTTATCTCAAACAACTGAAATAAAACAATTTCAGATGTCTGATTTTATTAAGTTGTGTACTTTAATGAACACTTTGAGAACAAGAAAAACAGGTAGTAGTCTTCTCAGTCAATGCATGAACAAGAATAATCAAGAAAACCCTGCATTTCTACAGAAATAAAGGAATTGAACAGTAGGCGACTTACTTGCGCCAAAAGTATTCATGTACTGAAGCATCGCTGACTAATTTCAATCCTTCTCTGACCGTATTCATCTCTGTATCACTAGCCCTGATTTGAAAGAACGAAAACAAATGACATTTTTAGGAATCTATTTTGACGCAACCAACCGTATTGGTTGAAGTGAATCAGCAGCATGTGCCCGGAAGAGTTTGTAAACAAATCCCATGATTAGTCAAGTAACAACATAGCGCAAATGAGAATAATGATACAATGCCTATCGCTACCAGTTGAAACTTATTGACCATTTTGCCATGCAACCTCTTCTGAGGTAGAACCAGTCATCATGTGTAGAGTTAACTCAGGTGCAACAGGTGTGATTTTGCCCCATCCGTCAGTGTATTCGTCAAATCATCACACTAAGTCATGCGTTCTAAAGTGATTGATCAAGACGACCAGAAACCTACCGCGGAAATCACAACTGCTGGTGATTAGTTAGATATAGTCGACAGATTTTACCTCTATAGTGGCTTAAAAGAAGCGAAATGCCTTAACTTCATTGGTTCATGATGATGTTAGTGAACTTTACAGGAAACCGTGTTCAAGGCCAGCTGAGAGAACTTTCGGTATCGCCCAACAGAGCATCATCATTATCTTACAGGGTAATACAGTTAAGCGAATATACATACTCTCTGCCAAACTCACTATGTATACAAGGCCAGTGAGAATGTGTAAGACATTGGGCCTACTTTTAGGGACAGGAAAAAGAAGCGACACTCTAAGGTCAACACACAGAATACACCGTCCAACTGTGCATACACACTATTTCCAGCAATCTTGACTGATCAGAAGTGACAGGAAGATCACCACTGTCGGTTTGTTGCCATGACCTTCAGTGTCTCCAAACATCCAGTTTTGGAGTCTTTTGGACCCCAATCCGGAAGACAAGAGACACCTACTCTAAATAATCACTCTGTGCAGTTCTTTATGCCTCGTCTCCATGTCACCTGCTGGCTTCCACGTAGCTTTCTCTAATCTGCAGCGACCAAATAGAGCCTGACCTGAATGAAAAGGATTCCAGGCGGCCTATCTGGAAATTCACTTCGGAGAGCGATATTAAAACTGGCCAACACTAAATTGACCGTTTGGATCATGTGCAAAGCTCCAGTATACCTATCAAGAACAATGAGGTGCATTGGGGGAAACAAAGAGGAAAGGGTTGCAATCTGAACCGACAAACCTGAGCTGAGCAAACAAACGCAGCTTATTCAAAAGTCCCTGATGCATTGGGAACTGTGAATCGGTCTGCCGACTGCAATCAACGTCATAAGCGGAATAATGGTTGGTCCACAGACACGACATAAACGTAGGCAGCGAAGTCAAAATTGATTCAATAAACGTAAACAAAGAAACAAAAATACACATAACTAGTGTTTTACAATATCCGTTACCTCCTTGAGGCAACAGTAACAAAACAAAATAAGCGGCAGATCAGAGTGGTACTGATGATTTAATGTAGTCATTCATGAATCATTCAAAACAAACATACAAAGACAGATAGGGAGAGAGAGAGAGAGAGAGATAGCGAAAACGCACCAACATCCGGTCTCTACTTCATCGCCGCCGAGATGCACAAATTNATTCATCTTTGAACAGATGAAACACCTCACCGATCAGACCGTGCAGGTAATCATAGGTTTCGTTTCTCATCGGATTTAACGGTCCAAAGAACATACTTGGCATACCCCGATCACCCGGACAATGTGCCAAGACCTCGGGCATGGCATAAGCCAAACTGTGTGTGTGACCTATAAGAAGGGTTGTAGCAAGTATTCGGAGAAAAGATTGGGTTGAAATGTGTACAAAACAAACACAATCATGGAGGGCAGTGGTGTTTGAAGGACAAGAACGTTTAAACAACAAAACCACAGAAGATAGGCAGCTTCCATTACCGATGAGGAAATCAATAAAACATAAGCATATTTTGTGTGGGGAAAAAATTAGAAAGTACGCACGGTGTGGAGAAAAATTACTAATTCAGAAGCATAATCTCAGGTGCAATAGAAAAAGAAAAACAATGAATCGATAACCACAACCGCTAAACAAACGTACACATAACCACACACAGGAATACAGTCTACCCGATAATCCCTTCTCTCCAGGTGCACAATACTTAAACGAATTGAGTAAGTTGGGTGATGGAGATGAAATATAAAATCGTTACTCTGAGTGAACAGTGAACAGTGACATGCGCCAGGCTATGAAGCTCACTGCAATACCCGGACCTGGAATGACAAGGTTCCACCTGCTGAAAAACGTGAACAGATATGTATCAAATCAAATGCTTAACCTGAAAAGAGCCTCGATGACAAAGGATTTAAGAGAGAATTAATACACCTTTTTTATTTAAACAAGCAAATGTGCATGGTACCTTCTGTGAGGTAAGACGTAACTGTCAACAGCGAATTGTGCCTCCGGGAAATTCCCAATCCACTGAGTCAGTCACCATAGATGGACTACAACCGTTTCCTTAATAATACTGGCTTTTGACCTACGGTCCCATCCTATCACATGATTTTCCGGACAATCAATTTGACTGCAAATAACGTGTAAAACAAGAATAAAAGAATGAAGCTTTCACCACAGAGTAGAATATCAGATCAAAATAATTTTACAAAAGAAAAAAATAATTAATTGATTTCGGCACATTGAGTAAGCAGCTTTGCAACGAGGAAGGTTTCGATTCGACTCTACCAACCACGTTTCATTACTGATGGGATTTACCCTAGTTTAAATAAGTAAACATCAACTTGAGTTCAATTGCACTGTCTATTTGGTTGTATCCATTAGGCATTTCAGAACCACAAATCCCATCTGAGTTCACCTTTGTTTTGTTCCCGCGGTCTGAAGAAGTGAAGCAGTGATGGCATATAGAATCCAGAAAAATAGCATACGTAATGGCCTTTGGCATGGATCAACAGACTACCCCGTGGGAAGCAGACGCATGCGGTTAGGTCTCAAAAAACAATTGATTCACCTAAATTCCGCCTTTTTACCATATCCCATCGACAACCTAGTTCAATATATGTCCGTATCCGAACACATCACCCGATAACACACGAACCGGAAGTTACGAGGTGTTTATATGGGGAAGAAGGGGGTGGGAGAAACGAAACATGCAACCACTCAGGGAATAAAGGGTATTGACAATCACCAAGCGATCCATCAGGGGAAAATAACTAAACTAGAATCAAAACTTGTGTATGCGTGTGTGGGCACGTGTGTGAAAAACATGTGACCTGATGAAAAGATGTTCCCCACAGTAAATTTGTACGGCAGTTGGGTGTGTTCGGAATCGTGAAACAACAGTCACTATCGAATCGATCAATACGACCAATAGTGCATATAGGAGAGATGGGAGAAACATTCTACAAGATCGCTCGCACTGTAGCCGTAACAAGGGACAACCACAGTACAGAAATAAATCACAACTATCAGAATGCCGTAAACGAGTCGTGGTAATTAAAAATGGTAGACAGCTTTGCAGTCGTCCGGTTCAATACCATGCCTAACTTGTGTGGTTGGCCACCCCAAGTCCCGAGGCTTAGGTTACCGGTCTCCATCACAAAACGGCAGATCTTCGTAACCATGGGGTTCGCCCCGTCAACTGTTCATCACAGAATTGTGTGTAGAAAAAAACCACCCCGAATTTTCACGCGAGAAACGTTTGTTATCATTGTTTATTGAGGGATACGGTAGTGATTTAATTGAAAGTGTGTCGACAACAGATGATTTCTAGGTAATATAAAGTGCTTATTCGCAAGATATTGGTCGCAAATGATCAGTGCCACAGTCAAAGGTCACGGTGTATGGTAATTAGTGTGAGCATTGAATGAGGCACGCATCGTGCCTCCATACCTCTGTAAAAAAAGTTGTGATGCGTCATGCATGCGACTAATCTGCGCAGATGGCAGTTAGATGATGCGGACAAACCCCTTACCCATATCCGCATCATCGAACTGCCATCTGCGCAGATCAGCACAAAGATTAGATGTGCACAAACGGATAACGATTGTTTCCGGGACGGGTCAGGGTGTGAAGACAGGATGATTGTGATCAGTGAGGAAGCACTGGATGAACGATTCGAAAAGCTGAAGCGATTTCAATGAGCATGTGAATCGCGCATCCTGTGACAGCTTTTCTGAAGTACTGTGGTGTAGTGACTGACTGGGGCAGCCATCTTGATTGTTTAACTAACCACTCATTACCTCTTTTCCTCGCACAGACCATGCAGGCAGAGAAAATCACCTCAAGCTTGAGGAGTCGAACAGATCAATCGGAACCGATTAAGACATCCATAGAAAACCCAAACCGAGTGTTGTGGTATCGTGAGGCCTTGATTACTCGAGCCGTGTCAATGCTTGTTGCAGCCCGTCGCATATTATAGTAGCACGCATTCTGACGAACAGAAGCCTAATGGGAAGTGTTGTGTAGGTCTACACGAATGATAATCTGTTTTTAATTCTATGATGAATCGAAATACTGTGCATTACAGTTGTTGGGTCTCACCGAAAATTCGACTTAACCAACAGCTGATAACACTGTTTCCAATTTCCTATGGCCGGTACAACACAACCCATCTTGGTAAGCACGTAAGATGATAATTTTTACGTTTCTCCTTTCCCTTCCCCCCACTGAACGAAACCGTGGACATATTTTGCGGAAGCAGATACGTAGATGCTTGCACAAGTCCGTTATCTACGATACAAACAAATTCTGTAATGAAGTCAAACAGAAATGAGGACGTGACTACATACGGTATCACAAAAAGGTGGGTCAGGTCGGTATCAAAACTGTCGACATGATTCAGACAGATGGTACAAGTTTTCAAATCTTATAATGAATTTCATACATCCAGTTCCCTTTAGGAATTCCATAAGAGCAAGAACAAGCATCGCCACAGGACAGGTGGAATTCAACTGTTTCACGTTATCTCTTCAGCTGTGAACAAACATTCAGGTGAAAGTTCGATCGGGACAATGACAAACCTTTAAACATCAAAAAACAATCGACTAGGAAAAATCAGTGCGAAGGTCAAAGGTTACCAATCGTAGTCGGGTTGAACAAAGGGATAGGGTGGGAGAACAGGTTTATCGACCTGGATCAAGGTGACAGCCCTCCCGTGGTAGGGCTGTCACCTTTTAATGACTGGCTATCAATGCTTCTCCTCCGAACACCTACCAAAATGATGAATGATTTGGGCATGTGCATATTGTGACCAATTCTATAGATCCAGATAGTCTGATCAATCAACAACAGATTTTTTTATTCTGACTGTAGTTGAAAAGAAACTCAACCCAACTTCGCCCTCCCCCCCCCCCCCCCCCGTTCTATTTCAAAAAAATGAAACAACAAGGGACACAGACGTAGAAAAAAAATCGAATTTTGCCAGTTGTTTCCGATTTTTTGCACTGTTTTTAATTGCGAAACGCGTAGCAATATAAGTTTGTTACCAGTAGAAAATGCTTAAAAACAAGTCTTTCGCCACTCCACTGGGACTAATTTTCGGAATGTTTAGGCATAAAATCTAAACAAATAGATGTATGAACCTACTAATTACCATCATATCCGGAATCCAGACTAAATGAGATATAAAACCGGGAGCCAAACAAGGGAACATAAACACTGTATTACAAGAACCAATTAAATCTATTGACACTGACCGGGTATGTCGAATTCCGGAATTACGCGGATACCACGATCACGCCCGAATTCGATCACGTCTTTGATATCTTGTACCGAGTAGATCTGTTTGGAGCTGTAGGCACCCTGTGTAAAGAAAGGAATCCAGGCGAATAACCCGAAGACGATTAATTATAAGAACAGAGAACTGGAGAATGAATTGAGTGAGATAAGCTTTGTACACCTATTGCAGCGAATGGGAACAAGGGAGTTGAAACACGAACATTAAAAAGGGAACGGAACCATAAACTGTGTTCATCTATCTGGCTTTTCAGCAAAAACGCGGAACTGCGAGATCCACGATCGATTTCAGTGTCAGCTACCGTGAACAAATCAATAATGGGGAGAAATATCTTGAACATCGGATGATTAGGGTGCATGAACTACATCGTTCACATAATTACGAAAGTGAATTGTTCTGATCGATGTAAACAGAAAAAAAATGGCATGGACCAAGTACGGATTGATTGATCTCTCACAGATTGTGAATATCTTCGGTCAATCAAAACGACAGTGGTTAAGCGATTACCGTTATCAGCATCTGGCCTATAGATTGTTTGTCCGAGCGCCATCACCGTTGCCTGAGTCCCCCATGTTTTATGTTTCGTATACCAACCGTATTATTAAATCTTGCTTGGATCATCATATATTCAATAGAAAAAAAGTAAAAAAGTAAAACCATGTACGATGGTGGTGGCCACAGTAGTCAAAATGCACGAGAATAAAGACCATCAAAGAAATGACAGACATGAGGGAAGGGACGAACACATGAGCACAATTTCTGAAATGTAAAACCCTAAATCGAACTAACCTACGACAATTGAGTTGGTTTGGTTCTGCGGAACACAGTGAACAGTTTGAGACGCGATACCATTTTGTAAAGTAGATTATACGGTGCAAGCGGACGCCTTGTTTGGGTACTTTCCATGACCTTTAGGTGAGAATTCGACGGCGAAAACTGTATTATAAACGAATACAGATCCAACATGATGCCTGCGGGAATTGCAACTTACACTTCTTCCGGAAGTCGTGCTAGTAATAGCAAATTCATCAGATTTATCCAAATCGAAAAACTTCTATGGCTGAAGTCATTGTGAATTCTGTTTACTTTCCACTGCTCCTACTCTAGTATCGGATCAATATGATAGCCACTCAGTCATGACGTTTCTCTGAAACCGGTTGTTCACTGAATTCGGAGCATTTAAAAGTACCGTTTGGATGGTTACGTATTGGCACAGCAATTAACTCAACTCCCTCGCGGTTGTTTCTTTTTTTCCGGGCTGTTATTCAAGATCGGCCGATTTGGATAGAATTTTTTGTCGCATGCATGCCCTCTCCGTTGCACTTACACACTTGAGATCTGAGAGCAACCACTTAGCATAACTGAGCATGAACTGAACGTAAAAGGCTAGTTCGCGACAATGGGCATTGCGCAACGCTAACCACGCGTTACTCTTGACTTTGACCCAGCCAGTGTCAACAGCAAAGCTTACTCTCTCGCATACGCCAGGCACTCTTGAGTTCAATATAGCCTTACTGGCAGTTCGCAAATCCAACACATTATATTCTTTAAAATAAAGTGAACCCAGTTCAGTGATGGTCTCACTTGCTTGACCAGCCAAGATAATATCCAGTCTCGTCCTTTAAGAAATGAGCAATCACGATGAAGCGGTTGCAAAGATGTATATGCGGAAATATGGATGGTCCACTCAGCTGCTAGCACAACTTAATGCTACCAGGCGCATTTCTACGTAGCAAGTAGAAGACTAGCCGTACCAGTGATTAGTCGTGAATAAAGCCACAGAAAAATCACTAAATGAGTGATCGAAATCCGTCCGGGGTCTTGTTTGAAGGTGCATTGCATCCCCAATCTGGAAGAAGTTATCGATAGAAAAAATGAAATATATGCTATTGAACACATGATATGAGTAGATGTGAGTCGCCACTATTATTACCTCAACACCAACCATCGGGTTTAGGTCACTTAACGCGTTGGACATCCTTAGTTGGTAGAACGTCATTTAAAAGGCCTATCAACCTGCTCTCAGCACACGAAATTCCTACGACCCAGCAGGTAGTACTTAGGTGTGCACAGTCTGGAGAAACCGCCTCGAACACCCAGTGTCGCTGAGAAGACTACTGCGTACTGTATTTCCAGGACTCGTTATGGAAGAGTTAAAGCATGTCGGGGTCAATTGCCCCATGGTGTGTGAGAGTCACAAATATGTAATATGTTCGTAATTATTTCTCTGTGAGATCATCTATGAGGAAACCTAAGACCAACATATTTTGCTTGATGGTGGATGTCTTAAATGTCAAGACAAAACACGCTCAGTACGAAGTGGATGGAACTGGGCCTTGATACACGAAGCAATGTCCGCATTTACATAAATAAAAGGACAAGCGAGAGCTGCACGACAGAATGGATGCTTCGAGAAGTAAATTCAAAGAAAGTTTGAGTTCCAGAATATGCATGAAAATATTCCTATCGTATCAAAAAGATCGATACAGACATAGTTCAGGATTCACTTCGTCGTGAACATGACCGGACACCACTCCCCATTCTATCAATTGTTTCACACAAACAGAGTCTGAACCAAGAATACACACACGTGCATATGTGTGCACAATCAAATACAAACATCACTTTGATGGATAATGCGTAAAATAATGTCCAATGCATTCCCAGCTACTGGTCAACACTCATCCCAACACCAGCGGGGAAAACAGGCATAACCAGGAACCATATGGAAATAGACACGAAGTGGTTCCTGTCATTTATCGGTCTGGAAAAACTGAAATCGGTGGCTCTTCATGCGAGGCAAAACGGAACAGACCACACATTAAAACATATATATATATATATATATATATATATATATATATATATATATATANNNTATATATATTTCCTAGTAAGCCTTTAGTAGAAGGACAGCTCAAGTAGACGGGAAAAAATAGATGGAGGACGAATCCGCCAAAGAACGCTTAAATCGATTCAAAATTTCCGAATGTGATTAAATAACGATCAAGTCATTTTCTAATCATGTGTACCAGTAAGCAGCGTGAATCCAGATCCATCTGGTCCATATGCCAAGTGGAAAGCGATTAGCAGAGATGTGTTAGATTGTTGATTAGAAAACACGATAAGTAAAATATGTAAAGCAAATCCTTTTACGCTGAAAATAATAATCCTGTAAATTGTTTATTAAAATTATTATTAATTATTTATTAATATGCATCTACACAGCCAATTTTCGGAAAGAGGTTTGCAGTCAAGGAAAATACAGAAATGAAGATGGGTAGCGGTGGCGGAATTCAACCTCCTCCGGGATGCTCCTACTAATGGCCAGAATCGCTTGATCGCACATCAAGAGCAAAACACAGACCAATGAGAACGTCTAATGGACGAACGAGCCGACCTAAAACACTTGCTGTGCTGGACCGCATAACACAACAAGCACGAGTGGTGATGGAGCCGTGGTTTAGTCGCTGTCACCGACGTCCTTTGGATCCTATGTTTCGAGGTTCAAGCCTCGCAACTGTCAATCAACTTTGGTGGTGAGCAGCTTTGCTGTCGTTCGATTCCATATCACGCCCAACGGAGCGGGGCCTTAAGTGGTTTGCCACTTCAAGTCCCGGGGCTTAAAGTGCCGGTTTCCGAACTTGAGCAACAGGTCTTCAAGAATATGGAGTCCTGCTTGTCTGTTGTTCATTACGCAAGTGTATGTAATAAAAAACAGCATCATTGGAGGGACCTCGGTGCAGTGAACTTCGGTGGTGATAAACCTAAACTCTGGGACTTAGAATAGTGCATCACTTCACTCCCCAATAAGATAAATGTCTACTGAGCCGGGAAATCGCAAATTGTCTACCACCAATAGGAGTAATTTCTAGAAACGACTTCAACGGTATAATCAGTGAACAGCAATGAACACAATTATTGAAAACCACACTTGAGCAGTAAACAAAACTGGCGAGCGTTCCAAACCAATTTCCACTCGAAATAAAGGGAGGGTGGCTACTTCGTGAACTAAAATCCAAACACATTTCATCGAAGCATAGGTATGACGAAACGATATTAGAATCTGCAAAAACGTTCAGATACCAGTGTCTGAACTGTCTTCGACACTACCTAACAGAAAGTAAACTCAACTAAAAGCTACGGTGTGGTGAAAGTGGATATCTTTGGCTGCGACTGGGTTACCCTTGTACTGCATATGATGAAACACTCCCACATGACTGAATGTCCTGAATAGTCTAAACTGAGGAAGCCCCACTCACCAGCAACACACGATGATATTCTGTCTCCAAAATGAGAGGACAAAAAAGACAATATCCAGAACTGAAAGTGAGTCAGCGAACCACTGGCAGTTCAATCACCGGAGTAGGCGAAAATTAAAATGTAAGTAATGGAGGATTTGGTTAAATTTCAAATGTGAATTCGTCGTGTATATAGCAAATGAA